CATTAGAGAGGGATAAGGCTGGAGCCAGGCGTCCATTTAATTGGCTATTACTTAATCCAGGCAAGAGCCACTACAGAAGTGTCTACAGGAACGGAGGGTTGAATCTACAGGATTTGGCAAGTGAGTGGCTGTGGTGATGGTAAGAGAGGAGGAATCAAGGCTAGCTTCTTGGTCAGACGGTGACACCATTCACTAAGATAGGGAACACAGAATGGAGCAATTCTAGGGAGGGATTAAATTCAGTTTTGAAAATGTTTCCATTGATGTGAATTCAAGACATACAAGTAAAGCTGACTGGTAGCAACTGGTTGGATACATAGCCTCTCATCCCAGAGGAGAGGTGTGGGCCAGAGAGTTACCCAAGTGTTAACTGGGGACTGAACATCACTGTGCTCCCTGAAGCCACAGCAGTGAATAAGATGCTCAGAAAGATGGTGTAAAGAAGAAAAGATTTAAAGGATGAACAGAGAAAGAGAAATCTGGCAAAAAAGGTGTACTCAGAGAGACAGGAGGAAAACTGGAGAACGTGGCATCTGAGAAGCAATGGGAAAAAAAGTGTTTTAAAAAGTAAGGAGTGACTCAACAATAAGAAAACAAACAACCAAATTTAAGAATGGGCAAGCGACTTTCCCGGTGGTCCAGTGGCTAAGACTCCACACTCCCAATGCAGGAGGGGCCTGGGTTCGATCCCCTAGTTGGGGAACTAGATCCCACGTGCCGCAACTAAGAGTTCCCGTGCCGCAACTAAGACACGGCACAGCCAAATAAATAAATAAATATATTTTTTTAATGGGCAAAACATTTAGACATGTCACCAAAGAAGATATACAGATGGTAAACATGCATATGAAATGTTAACCATCATACATCATCAGGGATTACAAATTAAAATAACAAGATACCACTTCACATCTATTAGAACGGCAAAAATCCAAAGCACTGACAATACCAAATGCTGGTGGAGATGCAAAATGGCACAACCGCTTTGAAAGAAGACACTTTGCTGGTTTCTTACAAAACTAAACATACTCTTATGGTATAACCCAGCAATCACACTCCCTGGTATTTAGTCAGATGAGTTAAAAACTTACATGCACACAAAAACCTGCACACGGATATTTATAACAGCTTTGTTCATTATTGCCAAAACCTGGAAGCAACCAAGAGGTCCATCTGCAGGTGAATGGATAAGTAAACTGTGGTACATCCAGACCATGGAGTATTATTGAGCATTAAAAAGAAGTGAGCTATTAATCCACGAAAAGACATAGAGGAAACTTATATGCATATTACTAACTGAAAGAAGCCAATCTGAAAAGGCTACATAATGTATGATTCCAACTATATGACATTCTGGAAAAGGCAAAACTGTGGAGACAGTAAAATGATCATTGACCGCCAGAGGTTAAGGGAGTGGGAGGGATGAATAGGCACAGAGGATTCTTAGGGCAGTGAAACTGCTCTGAATGATACTATAATGGTAGATACATGTCATTATGTATTTGTCCAAACCCACGGAACGTACAACACCAAGAGCGAGCCCTAGTAAACGATGGACTTTAGATGGTAATCCAATGTAGTGTCGCAGCAGGTTGATGGACCGTAACAAATGTTCTACTTTGGTGCCGGATACTGACGGTGGGGGAGGCTATGGGTGTGAGGGGACAGGACGTATATGGGAGCTCTCCGTACTTTCTGCTTAATTTTGCTACGAACCCAAAACTGCTCTAAAAAATAAAGTTTATATTTAACAAAAGAAAGAAAGGAGTGGTGAACTTTTAGCATTTAGCGCTAAGTACTGCTGGGCAGTCATTAAGATAAAGACTGAGGATATCCAATAGATTATGACAAGATCACTGGTGACTCTGGCCAGAACAATCCACTCCACCCCTTCTCTGCCTCCTTCCAGAGTAGAACTGCGAAGAGCTGTGCCTGTTTCCTTTCTCCGCTTCCCGTCCACCCCTTTCCGGCCGCATCTACATGGGTCAGGGTTTTACTCCTGCTCCTCCATCAAGACGGTACTTCAGGGTCATCAGTGATCTCTTTAAATCCGGTATCCAGTTCTGTATGGCTATTAGCATAACCGATGACATCCTGGGCTCCTACCATGCCTCCCGTCCTTCCACTGACCCTACCTAGGACTGTACTAAGTCACTTCTCTGTCATCAAGGACTCTGTAGTTAATAGCCATTGTTTCATGATCATTAGGTCCAGGTGGCCTCTGTGCTCTGGTGGTCTCCAAACAATGATGAAGACCTTTGCTGACATATTCCTGGTGCCCATTAATAGACTAGCTACCCATTAATAAATATTGACTTAGGAATGCACTTACTATTTCCAAGCACATACCCACGCCCCTTAGGTTAACGATAAAATCGTCCCCTTGGCAGTGCACGGTACCGTTGTGAGTGTTCCTGGATGGTTGTCCGCCTGATCCTACTTATTCTGTGAGTAAGTTACCCTATAATAAACTGACCCACTGATCACCTGGAGCTGCCTACCTTGTTTTTCGGTCTCAAGACGCCTTCTCAGCTCAGTGGGTGCTTTCCGTTCCCTCCGTCCTCCAACAAGTTCTCAGTCATCTGACGTATCAGCAGCACCCCCCACAGTTCCTCATTCCCTCCTCCTTGAAACATTCTCTTCACTTGTTTTCTAGGACAGAGGACTCTCTGGCTTACCTTACTAGCAATTCCTATGCGGACCCCTCTTCACGTTCCTGATCTCTGAATATTAGTGTGTCCCAGAGAATAATCCTTAGACCTCTTCTCTTCTCTGCACTCATGGCCTAAAAAGTGACCTTATCTCAGAGCTTAAAATACTGTATTATCTACATACTGATCACTCCCAAATGTGTATCGCTAGCCCACCACTCCCAACTAAGCTACAGTCCTATATTCAACTGCCTACACCATATCTCAACTTAGATGTCTAATGGGCATCTCAAACTAACACATATAAAATATCTCTCCATTCCCATCTCTGTTAGCAGTAAATCCATCCTTCCAGTTGCTCAAGCCAAAACCCCTGGATTATTAATAATTACTTTTTCTCTCACATCAAATCCCACATATATGTTGTTGGAGCCAGACTGCCTAGGCTCAAATTCTAGTTTAGTCACTTAGTAGCTGTGTTATCTTGGGAAAATTGCTAAACATCTCCTGGCTTCAGTTTTATCACCTATAAAATGGGGGTAATACTCCCATGTATCTTACAGGGTTGTTAAAGTAATTAAATGAGTTAATGTTTGCAAAATGCTTGAAACAGAGCCTGCCACACAGTACATACTATCTCTCTCTCTCTTTTTTTTTTTTTAATATTTATGTATTCATTTATTTGTTTAGGCTGCACCAGGTCTTAGTTGTGGCATGAGGGATCTTCGCTGCAGCATGCGAACTCTTAGTTGCGGCATGCGGGATCTAGTTCCCCGACCAGGGATCGAACCTGGGTCCCCTGCATTGGGAGCGTGGAGTCTTACTCACTGGACCGCCAGGGAAGCCCCTGTATTACCTCTTGAATCTGACGACTTCTTACCATCCCCACCTCTACACCCCAGTCTGGGAACTAGCCACCAATATCTCTCATCTGGATTATTGCAAAAGTCTCCTACTAACTGGTCTCCCTCCTTCAGCCCTTGAACCTTTCAACCAACAGAGCTGCCAAAGTGATTTTTTTTAAAAAACAAAAGTCACCGTAAAGTTCTTTAGATATTTTTGCATGTTTGAAAATATTCATAATAAAAGTTAGAAAAAAACGAAAAGTCAGATAATATCATTCCTCTGTTAAAATCCTCTGATCCTTTGCATTTCACTCAGAGTGAAAAAGGCCTTAACGCTGACTAAGCCCTCAAATTGAGCTCTCTGTTGCCTCTCTGATGGCATCTCTCCTGTCCCCTCACTCATTCCTTTCCAGCACAGAGGCTTCCACCCTGTTCCTTAGACACTCAGTCATGCTCCCTCGCTGGGGCCTTTCTACCTGCCGTCCCCTCAGCCTGGAAAGCTCTTCCTTGGACTGCACTGCTCATGCCCTTGCCTTCTTCAAGCCTTCGCTGAAATGTTGACTTCTCAGTGAAGGGGTTCCCTGACATACCTTTCCAAGTAACCACCCACCCGCCATCCCTCACACCCCTTCTCTATTTTATTTTTCTCACAGCTTTTTTCTAAAATGCATTTTAGAAATAAAATTTCTGAAATTTATTCTAGATGCAATTCTCATTTATTGTAAAACATAATTCCCACGTGCTTATACTATGTTGCCAACCCAGTGGACATACACTCTGTATGTTGTTCCTTAAAGTGAAATCATGTTGAAGCAAAACTAAATAGACTGCTTACAGCATTGTCTCCAAAATGCTCTTTTCTTAAGTGCACATAGATGGTGATGAAACACTGTAGATTCTGGGTGTCTGGTGTCTGTCTTCAGTGTTAAATTCTTCTAAGAGCTACTTACCCTATTGCCCACTCATTTAAAAAGTACTTTCTGAGTCTGGGGGATAAATGTCATAGAGGCAGGAAATGTAGTAGCAGCAAGATTAAGATGCAAAGCCTGCTTTATCCTTGGCATTTATTACCACATCTCAATGGGGCCCCAGTAAATAGAAATATCATCCTGAAAAAGGGTGAGAGATGAGGTGAAGACAGGGGTGAAACTACTACGATTACTGCTACTATGCGATGGACCTATTAACTTTACACACATTATTTAATTTAGTTCTCATAGTAGGAGCCCTCACAAAACTGTCAGCCATTTATTGATGAGGAAACTGAAGCTCAGAAAGACGTAGTAGTCTGCCACACCACACTGGTAGTCCTATGTAGAGCCCAGAGCCAAACTCAGGAGGGTTATCTGATGCCAAAGCCTAGATGCTCTGTTCCTATAGAACCTTGCCTCTGGAGGTGTCAATTCAGCAAACTGGAGCCAAAAAAGGTGGTTAAATGGGCAACTTATACTCTGTCACTCAATTCCTTGGATAACTTAGCATGTCTAATGTTCCATGAACCCAGTCATAGCTGTGTGATGGCAACTCCCTTACCTGTGGACATAAAAAATGGGATGCGGAACTTTCCACTCAACACCCGGGCCCGCAGATTCTGCAGTGTGCTCCCATCAAATGGCAGGGCACCACACACAAGCACATAGAGGACGACTCCGAGGCTCTGCATCCCAAACAGAGAGCACGTACAATTAGTCACATCAGAGGAAACAAAAAAGGCCATTATAGTATGTGTATGAAGATAATGGTGAGTCATGCACGAGATAATGGAACAAACTTTTTCTTCTTTTTTTATGAGAAATAATATGGGGCATTGTCAAGGCCAATCATCTTTAGAATAGTCAGCATTCTTCTTTGCTTCCAGACATTACTTTTTGGGAACATAACTAGAATTTCTCTCAGTTATGAGAGAAGGCAAGTGGCAACAACAGAAAGAATTTCTGTTCTTGGCAAGGGTACCCATCCAAGCTTGCCCTAGGGATTTTTTTTTTTTTTTTTTTTTTGCAGTGCGAAGGGGGAGGTTGAACTACGTGGCTCAGTCCATAAGACAAAGGTTGAAGAACAGACTGCACCAAGAATTGGGAATTCAAAGAACAGGTGATCAGTTCTAGTGCAGTACTACGTGTTGTCCAGGATGAGGACAGCTGTCATCAGTCAAGGGTAACTAATACTATGGGGTATAAGGGAAGGCAGTCACATACCCAGATGTCCACTTTGGGCCCATCATATTCCTTTCCTTCAAAGAGTTCAGGTGCAGCATAGGGAGGGCTGCCACACCAGGTCTTTAGCAGCTGCCCAGGAGTGAAGAGGTTACTGAAGCCAAAATCTAGAAAGACAAATGGATATAACTCATGTTATCTTTACCCAGTGAATACTAGTTTCTAGTCAATAGAATAAAGGTTCTGGATCCTTAAGTCTGAATATCAAACACGAAAAGAGAACCTTTAGAAATTATATAACCAGCTGTTTAAATTTAAAGTAATAGTGAAATAGAGATACAGATGGGCTGGAATGCAAAAGACACACGGTTAACTAAAAGTAAATATGATTGGTTTATGTCAGCAAAACCAGCACCGTTTCCTTCATAAATCTGGACTGAGTGAGGTGAGTGGTATTTATTTACGAACAAAAATAAAATTGGATAATGATTGATATTAAGACCACGTCAGAATCGGTAAATACATGTTAAGTCTACTCACCTGGACCCAGGATTTTCAGATTACTTTTACTTCTTATGACAAACACATTTACGACCATTAGAGATATAGTGAACTTAACAATTAGACAAAGTGACTTTATTATCATTAAGGTGGCTTATTCAAAATAAAGAATATGCAACTTATTTACAAACAAACCACAAACACTTAATATTTTAAGTTCAACTCCTTTCGTGCTTCAACTTCCCCCCTTCATTTCTCCCCCTCCCACTGTCTGAAGAGAGTTGACGGGAGATAGGAGGGGTGCGGTTTGGGGAGGAATACCAAAAGAAAATGAACAAGGATGGCAGGCAAAGGATAGAGTCTCGCTGACTTATAAATACTTTCATGCACATAGATATTTAGAGGAACAACGTGCAGGTATGACAGGCTAGAGCTCCCTCCTGCCCCCAGGCCTACCACATTCCCATAGTCCCAGCAGCTGAAGACTCTGGGCACCTCCCTACTCTCGGAAACACTCCTCCCTTTCCTACTTTTACTCTCATTGACAACTCTGCCCCCTTTTGCTATTTGCTTTTCTTCTTCCTACCTTCTCCAGAAGGTGTTTTCTAGTAAAGCATGCGCTGATTTTGACTATCGCTCCTTGCCCTTTATTTTCTCAGGGCCAGCTCTTCTGGTCCCACAGCTTCCACTCTCATTTGTTTGGTAATGATTCTCCAAACTTGTATCTTTGGCCCTGGTACCATGCTTAAGTTCCTGACAAGAACTTCCAGTACTTGCCTGGGAAGAAACATCTCAAACTCCCCATTTTCCAAAGGCAAATGTGCTCTTCCAGCAATGTTCCCATGTTCATTCATGGCACTACCTTTGCGTCACCAGGAGCACTGGAGTCTTCGCTCCTTGCTCCTTCTCATCTCCATTTCAAACCGGAGGTACGGCTTTTACTGCTTCCACCCTGTAAGTGTGTCTTGAACCTACCTCCTTCTTTCCAGTTCCATTCCTCCCACCTCAGTTCACACTCTTATCATCTCTGACCTCGACTGATGCTCTTGCTTACTACCCTCTATTTCATTTCCCTCTAAGCCACCCATTCATAGCCCAGTGAACGTGACACAAATCACATCGTGCTGCCTCCTTGCTCAAAAACATTCGGTGGCTCCCTTCTGCTTACAGAACAGTCTAGCTCTCTTAGCATTGTCACTTAAGGTCCTCATGACCCAGCTCCACCCAACCTTTCCAACTCACTCCTAGCCATTCCAGCATCACTAGACTATGCATAGCTTGTGTTTATGTGCCTCTCTTATGCTACTTACTCTCCGTGCCATGCTTTTTCCCCTCCCTGCCACATTTGAAAGAGCACTCATTTTCAAGGCCCAGTCAAATATTACTTCCTGTATGAAGCCTTAACTGACTCCCACCACAAAATACCAGGCCAGTGGCTTCCTCCTCTGTGCTTCCATGGCCCTTTGCTTATACCTCTACAGTCCAATTACAACTCTGCCTCATGCTATACTTAGTTGTATTATCTGTTTATACCCTCCACTAGTTAGTAAATGGGAGGGATATCATTTTATTTATCTTAGTCTCCACACCGTGTTTTCATACATAGCAGGGACTCAAGAAAGGGTCACTAAATTAAACTGCAATAAAACTGCAATAAAATCACTGGGCCAATCCTCTTGTCACCTCCTGGCTACTGGAGCCTTTTCATACTGACTGGCAGCTGGCCAGCTACTAGAGCCTCTACCTCCCAGCCAGCCCTCCTAAAGTTATAAAAAACTTAATGATCACAAGGGGCTTAGAGGTCAGAGCCATCATCAGAATCACTATAGCTACTTCAAGGAGAGAAATCCAATACTCTTGTTCATCAATGCAAAATAAATGCCTCTTCTGCCAAGTCTTCCTGAATCTCCTATAAGAAATGTCCTCCGCCTACCATCTCTGCACTCCCTTATTACTTTGCACTTCTCCTTTATTTTGGGTATTTACATATATAAATATCCTATTCTTCTAGCTCCTTAAAAATATCCTATCTCTCTAGTAGAGGTCTACCCCCTCTCTCCCTAGTTCCTTAAAAATACCTGTTTCATCTCTGACTCTCTCACATTACCTAGCATACTCTTTAATTTAAACACAGTAGGTACTTAACAAATGTTAACTATGAGTGCAACTGCAATTAAAGCCCTACCAACTAACCTACAACTTTGGAAACCCAGTACTTTTAATTTATAAGTTAAAGTCTGCATGCACTGAAACCTGTTTTCCTTAAGAGACTGGGGATAGGTTGCTAAAAATCCCAACAAATGAGATTCAGCAGAGCAGGTATCTTTGGGAATTATCTAGAAAGAGGGCTCTTGATATATCTTTTAATTGGTTGGCAAAGACCTTCACCGGGTCCTTTCCCACGACTAGCCTTCTCTGCAGAGCGAGGAAGATGTGCTGATGGAGTCTGTAATAACTAATGGACTCTGACACTGGTGTGATTGGATAGCAAAGTCCAGAAGAGTCATGGAGTATTCTGCTTGTGTTTTGAATGGAGAATGCAACAGGGCAGGCAATGAATTAAAACCACTTGATTTTAAAACTTCCTAATAAGCAGCTTAAAGTACATAGGAAATCTGTCATTTTGAACAATGAATGCTCTATCTACAATTAGTAACCTTTGTATGATTTTACTCTGTCGGGCAGGAGAAGGCACAGACTTAATGGCGCGAGCTTGTTTTTTAGCCTACCAAACAGGAAATCTTTACAAAGGAAACAATATTAAAGAAAACCATCTTCAGCGATGGTTATAGGCTTAGATTGCTATTAGGTGTTTATATGAGAAATGAGTGTGCAGGAATGAATGACATGATCAGGGCCTGACATCTAGAGATGCCACATCGGGGGAAACACCTGCTTCCAGAGCATGTTACAGCCACACAGCTGCCCTCAACAGCTAGACCCAATGACTGACAGCAAGATTTCAGTAAGATTCAACAAGAAACCCCCCACCAGCAGCTCGCTCCTATTTCCTATTACAGAAAGCAAAAACTCTTTAGTCTTGTAAACCTGTCATGGGGTCTCCTCTAATCATTCCAAGTATTGTTCTTACTCCTAACCCTAAAGTGTTGCACATTTAAGCAAAATTTATTTTGCCATGCTTGCTATGACACTTGTTGGAATGGACTTGTTCATCTTATTTTGGCTCAGTAGCTGAGCCAAATGTCTTTCAGTCTTTACTAAAGCTTCTTATTCCTAATGTCTCTTTCACAGTCTCCAAGTTCCTCCATTATCTTCACTCATGTATTTAACATGTACTTCTGGAACCCTTCCAATCAGTAGAGCAATGTGTTGGTTCCTACGAAAGAACCAAAGGCAGAAAAGATATGTTCCTATGGAAGGACTCAAAAAGAAAGCAGAACTTAAGTTGAGTGGATTGGAGCTAGAGAAGCAGAGGGGGATATGGAAAGGGTTTTCTAAGTGGTGGCTGGGCAAAAGCAGAGTAAAGGCAGATCATTTGGAACTAGTGTGCTAAGTTGAAGCAACAATAAAGAAACTGCCTGGGTATGAAGTAGGGTTCACCAGAGGTATATGGCAAAAAATAACATTACACAGTAGCAACAGGCCAGACAAAATATAGCTTTAAATGATAGAACAAGGACCCTAGATTTCACCATGTGGACTTTTCTTTCTTTCCTTTTCTTCTATTTTTCCCAAGTTTACAAATTTTATTAAATTTCAGATACAAAGAATTTGATTATGAATTAATTATAATCTTTGGTTCCTGGCACATTCTCACCATTGCTCCACATGTGGCCTGCTTTTATTTAGACTTTTTTTCTATAGCCTTACTATATAAAATTCACCCATTTAAAGTGTACTTGCAGTGGTTTTTAGTGTATTCATAGAGTTGTACACCATTACCTCAATCAATTTTAGAACATTTTCATCAACCTAAAAGGAAACCCTGTACCAATTAGCAGTCACTCTCCATTTCTCCTCCCTCAACTCTCCCAGCAATGCCTCCGCCCTAGACAATCACTAATCAACTTTCTGTCTCTATGGATTTGACTATTCTGGACATTACATAGAAAAGGAATCATACAATATGTGGTCTTTTGTGACTGGCTTCTTTCAATTAGCACAATGTTTTCAAGGTTCATACACATTGTAGCATCTATCACTAGTTCATTCTTTTTTAATTGCTGAATAATATTCAATGGTAACGACACACCACATTTTATGTATCCATTCATCAGTTGATGGATATTCAGGTTGATTCTTTTTTTTTTTTTTTTTTTGGTACTATGAATAATGTTGCTATGAACATTCACATAAGTTTTTTTGTGGATGTATGTTTTCATTTCTCTTGGGTATATACCTAGTAGTGGAACTGCTGAGTCATATGGTAACTCCATGTTTGGTCTTCTCAGGAACTGCACAAACCATTATCTGAAGTGGCTGCAACACTTTATATTCCCATCAACAATGTACAAGAGTTCCAATTTATCCACATCCTTCCCAACACTTTTTTTTTTTTTTTAAATTTTTGGCTGCATTGGGTCTTCGTTGCTGCACGCGAGCTTTCTCTAGTTGTGGCAAGCAGGGGCCACTCTTCATCATGGTGCGCGGGCCTCTCACTATCGCGGCCTCTCTTGTTGCAGAGCACAGGCTCCAGATGCGCAGG